TTCCTCAGTTGTGCCACACATCTGACAAACCAAAACAGAGAATGCTCTCATCCCTGAAATCTTGCATATTATTTGGGTGGAGGTAGGCTTCACAGGAATTACTTGCCTTTTTTTTTTTCAGTGGTGGCATGGGCTAAGTATACTCGCAATAAAATGTTTTAAAAATAGGATTTACTATGACTTCCATGGATCTTGGGGGAAGAAGGAAGGTAAAAGGGGGATTGAAATAATAAGGTCATTGTAATTTTTTTTTTTTTTAAATACAATTGGATTCCAATGGCAGGCAGCAGAGCCCCATCCAGACAGGTTTAACTGGCAGCCTTCCAAAAGCAAGATGAAAGGTCCTCTGAGTAGTAATTGTCTAAATGGAACAGACTCTGGTTATCGTGCAACTTCTTCATCTACTTTATTGTACCTTTATAATTAAATGATGTAATTCCTTTTTTTTCCTTTCTTGTTTTCCTCTTGACTACTGCAGGAAAGCATCTGAGCAACGTTGCCGTAGGATGCAGACAGACTCTGTGGCTTCCAGGTTTTTTTCTGGGTCGCTGTAAGTCGTAATCAGGGAGTTGTGAGCTGCTGGTTGCCAAAGCAGGACATAAACTCTGCCTTCTCCCGGCCACGAATGGACACTTACCTGCATTTCAACTCTCTGCTTGCTTAGTGGTGGAGGTGGTTGGTTCACTGTGATTTTTTGGTAGGGTGAGGGAATGCCGCTTTTGCTGGAAGCTCAGTGGTAAGCAGGCAAACAGTGGATCTAATAGGATATAGGGAACACTATATTCAAGGGGGCGTTAAGCAGCAGGGCTATTTAATTCACAGAGGAGACTGGACAGACACCTGAGAATCGGAAGAAGCTTAGAGTATTGTGCTGAACAAACCCAGAGCCAGCGTTTCCTGACTCTGCAAGGCTTTAGGGATCAGGAGTGAAACTCTGGTCCCGAGATGCTAAAAGACTTGATCAAATGTGAAAGCAGAATGAGAGGACCAACTTTGTAAGCTCTTTCTTTTTGACTGGTCCTGTACAAGAGTGCTTTCCCTCAGCCCAAGTAGCCCATTCACAGCAATAAAGATTATTCAGGTGAGTAAAAGTTAGCAAGACTGGGCCCTGGGTTTGCATGTTCAACTCCAATAATTTCTTTATTGACTGTAATTTCTGTTGTTTCTGGCTTTATTTTTTTTTTCATTCATGATAACAAAGAGAACAAATTAACTGCCTAATTTTGACACAGCTTTAGAATATTCTTCAGACCTTTGGTCTCATGCCTGCCTGCCTCTCCCCGAGTATGCTTACTTGTGACAATCTGTTTTAATTCATTGCCTGTTTATCTAATTGTATTTTTTGAAATATGCACCTGGGTTCTATGGAAATATAAAAAAAGGAATAGGAGAAATATAAATAGGACCAATTGGTTTATATATGCATTAGTGTCTATTGTATCTATCCCTAAGAAATCTGAAGTAACAGATCTCCAGTTTTTCTAGCAAAATCCAACATAAAGGTTTTGACTTATTTGCCAGAAAGTAAAAACTAATAAATACAGCATAGAATTACAGAAGTGACCCAGCATATTCAGAAACAGAACTGTTTTTTAAAACCACTGGCATCAGAATACTGCCAAGTACAATAGGGCCTGATCCTGCCACAAGCCATTGCCTACAGCTTGTATTAATTTCAGCAGGGTTCATAAGCAGAATAACTGCAGGGTATTTGCAAAGCTGGTTAGGCTCTTAATGACCATTTTTTGTTATCCTTTGATAGACAAACCTACCATTCTCAATACTGGAAGTTTTGCCTAGGGAAAAATGTAGGATTTGTCTCAAAATAAATGGATCGTTTAGATCCTGTCCAGCTTAAAAAAAAAAAAAAACACAAACCAAACCACCAACCCTTAACAGCATTTACATTCAATTACATATAGAAGGACCAAAAGGCAATACACACTATATTTGGGGCCAGAACCTGCATTAGTTTATCCAGTTCCGGAAAAGGTGTGCTAGATTAAATTAACAGCTGGCAGAAAAGGAGAGTAAAAGGCCTATGTACCAATAACCTCCTCTTTTATACGGTATTTGCCCTGGAGCTCATACAGAGAGAGATTTCATCTGTGCGGGAATATGTACCCCAGTCAGGGTATTTGATTACAACAGGTAGAGAACATGTGCAGCTCTTCACACCTGCACAGAGCAGGCTCTGCCCGGGCACCTACCCCTGCAACCTCTAACTCCAGACCAGCGTCTGCCACGGAAGAAAAACTAGAAAAGCAAGGTGGTGCTGTCGGGATGAACCTAGAATACCTGCCTCATTTTGAACTCACAGCTGTTCTCAACGTTGGACAGCAATGGCAAATGTACTTATTCCACTTTTATCATATAGTGGAGGATCGTAAAGAAACAGTCTAGTAGCTGGCCTTAGGTGGGAACAGGGACACTGGTTGACTACCCACGTGAAGTTGGCTCCTTCTAATTCAGTGATTCCAGCATACAAGGATTTTTAACAGACAAGTATTTTACATTACTTTTTGGTAAGGGGAGAGTAAAATCCATTCGTTCTTTCTGATCTAACAAAACATAAAGTGAACAAGCAATCCTATATCTCCAGTTTTATTTCTGAGCAAGTCAAACAGTTTATTTTATCAAATTGCCATTACACTTGCTTTTCTATGTTTTAATCTGGAGATGCCAAAGCAACACACTTCTATAGCATTAGTGCTAACATGTGTGACTCTTCATCATGGCTGAGAGTTACAGTATAGGTAGATCCTCACTCCAAAAATGAACTATAATGTTGGTGTTCAGTGTGACGAGTCTCCCTCCTTTAACATTTCTCTCAACGTACAATGAAGTTTGTTAAATGTGCACCAAAAACCTTTAAAGAAGGCAAGGAGTCACACACTGATACTTGCACATACCTCCTTTATGTGCGCAGTTTGCACTTCTGACATTGGGGCAGTGGCTCTGCGAAGTGGCTATCTGGCCATCTGCACACACATATGTCCAGGAATATGTGTGCAGAAGCGCATGCTGTACCTGAGCCCGGGAATCCCTTGCTACCAGCTGAACACTGTACATTTAGACTTAGTTCGCTACACACACACACACTCTCAGACACACACACGAACACACACAATTTACAGCAGGATCTTTTGAAGACTATCTTCTCCGGCATTTAACCACCTCAACTTGAGTTGCCATATTTTCTTTATGGCTAACACTTAGCAGAGTTGCCCTTACACATAAGCCAGTGCCAGGCAATTTCATCAGTTTCTGGCAGGACAAACGGACATTCCTGAGGACAAGGCAGGTGGTGAAAGAGGAACGAGGCTCACTCATTTCAAGATGAAAATCCTCTCTAATAACTGAAATCCCATTTGCCAAAGGTAAGTTCTGGTGACATGTTTGCCCGCTGTCAAGGTTGAATTTCTTTGTTTATGCCCCAAGCACAGCAAGCACATGTGGCAGAGCGATCCAGCCCTTCGCAGCCAGCCCAGCACGTCCGTGCCCTCACCTAGACAGAGAAGAGGAATCCCTCCCTCGGCACTGAAACCAGCAGCTGGGTGCCAGGGTGCTGACGGGCTTTGGACATGTTCACTTGTCCATTACAAATGGGACTGAAGCCACCAATTCATTTCATAGGGGTCGTTAAATAGCAACTAGACATTAAGGGTCACTAGCAACACAGACAGGATCCCAACTAGTGATCTAGGTTCCCTGCTACACCACCTGTTTGTACTGTTTCAGTGCAAGTCTATACCATGCTACTCACCTCTACTGCTCACTTTAAAAACATACAGAACAAAATGTATACATTGGCAAACACATGTGAGAGTATATCCCTCGTGAATAATTAGCTTTAAGCAACAATTCCACTTGCAATGTCTGAAGAGGGAATTAATCCAGGCTATCAAGGGAGTTTGGGACAGAACACACTTAGAAAACAAGTATTCTTAAAGATTGCACGGTGTAAGAAGCAATGATTTCACTGCGATGGAAATAAACCACTAGGGAATCATCTGAATGCAACAGAAGAACCATGGGAGGGAAATGTTATTTTGTTGTATGGAATAACCATGCTGTGGGTAGCAAAGATGCTGTCATCCTTTACCGAAACCCTCATCATCCTGCAAAAACATACATCTTTTGTAGACAGGGTGTTTAGGCAGGGTTTTATGCGTATCTCCCCTTCCTATACTTTGGATCAAAGAAACATTTGAGGCAAACTGACCATCACCTTGAACTGGTACCTTGGGGGAAAAAAGAAGAACAAGGACCAAAAGGCAAGAAAAAACATAGCACAGAAATGCTACAGGCAAACAGATGCATCTCCACCCCAAGAGAAAACGATTCCTTTCTAACACTCCTAATAAATTCATGTAACGTTTTGTAGACATTGAAAATATTCCAAAACATAGCTCAGTGTAAACAGCAAGCTGGGTTTCCTCCTGCTCTTTAGCATTTCTCTTTGTTTACTCTCCATTTGAGGATAGAAAAAGCCTACATGTGAGCACTGCAAATGGTGTATTTCAGGACTGATGGGGCATTCGATAAGGGAATGATGAAATACAGACATATGTAGCCTCCAATAAAATAATATGTACTTTGCTTGAGTCACCAGGGTCAAGCAAAATTAAAAAAAAATCCAGTGTCTGCTTTATTAATACTTTTTATTTGTATGTGGAAAATAATCTGATACCATGGTGATGGGCAGACTATATTAAGCTTAGAGACCGAGACATGAAAGAGACATTCTGGGGTGTGTCTGCTCTCACCCCCACTGCCTTCTTGCTCCCAAACCCCACGCCTCAGCAGTAGAGACCCCGTGGGAAACTGCCCTGGCAGTGCTTCGGGAAGCGATGCCCAGCCAGGCCAGTTCACCCATTGCAAGGAGAAGTACTTGGCTAGAGATGCCAGCTCCCACCTGTGAGCCCAAATGGCTCTGCTCCGCCTCTGCTCAGCTCAGGAGGGCCTGGCACGTTCATTTGGTAAAAAACAGCCCTTACCTTTGGCAATCAGCTCCTCCAGCTCTTGGTCGAATCCTTGTCGGTGGCATTTCCTCCAGAGCCCCATGTTGGTCGAGTTGTACTGTCTGTTGCACTCGTCAACTGCGCTCATAGCAAAGATCTGCCTCCTGTTTCTTGCCAAGAGGAGTTTCCCTTCCCAGCGGCCCAACCTAGACCTGCTGGCCCTGAGAGGCAGGTTGTTGTTGGAGTTATAAATGAAGCCAGGATCATTTCTCTTAGTGGTGATGCTCTTGCACCTCTCTCTGTGCTTCCTGGCATCAGTTTCGTACCAATGGTCAGAGCAGATTGCCACAGCCAGCATGCCCAGGGCACACAGAGCTAACGAGAGGCCAGCATACAGCAGTAACCTTCCAGCAGCCATACCTCAGCTTCACAGAAACACCATGGACATCTTCACAACAGGCAAAGCCCTTGAGCGTGAGACCACGCAAAAACCTCCGGAGCAGCTGCTAGGTGTCACTTGGCAGAGACTGCCTCAAACATCCCCAACTCCCGTGGCTCACATCCACACTGCGGAGGGATGCTGAGAGCGCTACAAAGTTCTGCCCTGGAGGCAGTCCTGGAGTCTCATCTGCCTCTTCTCCTCTGCGGAGGAGACCTGGCGAGGAGAAACACAGCCTTCCACCTCGAACGGGAGCAAGCCAGCGACCCACCTATACAATGATGTCCTGCTCCCCTCACCACCAGCACCCGAGCGATGGGGGCTGAAGGGATATATCCCCCCTGAAGAGACCTGAAAGCTACGGCTGTTTGATCAGTCCATTAATCTCTTTCAATCTGGCCGGCTCGGAAATCCAGAAGAGATGGCTTTCAGATCAGCAGGCTCACCACAGCATCATCACAGGACAGAAAAGTTCAGCAGCTAGAGATCTCCCGCTTGCAAGCAGCCGGTTATGCCGGTTTCAGGAATGGGCGACTTGCCTTTTCTTTGTCGGTGGCTCAGCAAAGAGCATCATCGTCTGGATGGTCGGTCGCTTGCTTGGGTTTAAAGCGGGGTCGAAGGGGAGGGAGCAAGAGGGGGGGAGCAATCTGTTGTCGTTGCTGCTGCTGCTGCTGCTTTAAATCGTGGCTAAAATACAACCTCCCCGGCTGGAACTGGAAACGCAGGCATGCACAGGTCTCTCTGTTAGCAGACTTCGCCGACAGTCACTGACATCTCGGCTCCAGAAACACCTCGGCTTCTCTCTGCCAGCCTTGCCATTCACTCGCCTGCTTTTGCCGTCTGCGCTGTCACCCAGGCAGCCTAACGCCACGATCCCTTCCCCGGAGCGCCCCAGCAGCGCTTCGGCTCTCCCGGCGAGCGCGGCGCGGCAGCC